TTGAGAGGAACTATGGACATTATTATTTTAAGCTCCAATAATTTTGACAATTAATTAACACCTTAATTAATATGTCAAAATTATTAATTCTAAATTACTCCACTATAAATTTGGAATTGCACTCTTAAAATAATAAAAATAATTATGTTCACGGAATTTGTGTTGTCCATTGATATAGTCACTACATACGAATTAATCCTCCATAAACGGTTCATAATTAAAGCTACGTATTTTTCGTTAACCTCTTTAATTATATCTTTCTCCATAAGTAGCATTGATCCTCTAATGAATAATATATTTTATGATCCAATCATAAAATTGAGCACTCTTATTATTCAAGTCCCGAATCAACACTTATGGGAACCGTCCATCTACTTCATTATGAAGGAATGGATTTCATCTTGTAAATTAATATTCCCGGCTATTTATTTTACTATGCTCCTAATATACCAAGACTTTGACACTATTCACATGTGTCATTACTCAATATGTCAAAGAACATAATATCATAAATAGGAGTTTATTAATTACTCAGAATTAAGATTAATACATATATGACCATCATTGATTAACATTGAATACTCTATTTAATAACATAATTTATTAGAGATTCATAATTAATCGCGTTCCGGTCCTATGTAATCATATTACATAAAATGCTTTCATTCCAATAATCTCATTATTAACAATTTATGATAAGATTGTTTCATTCAGAATGTAATGAACCGCATTAGTAATTCTAAATTAAAGATCCCAACTTTAATTTATAATTACGGACAAGTTTAGATTATTTTATTTCAAACATTATCCTCTGCATATAACAATTATATACAATGTTTAAAGTTACACAAAAAATAATCTAGGGATTTTGATATTTATAAAACATCACATGTATGCAAAATAATATTGAAAAATTCCTCATTTCATTGATAATCAACAAAATATTTACATCTTATTTGATTTATGTGCATATATCCCACCAGCTTGGGCATAGCAAATAATGGGTGCAGATAAATAGTAATAGTGTGAAAAACGGTCCTAAAGTTTACCTTCAATTTAATTTTGATCATTTGACTTTTTAAACGTCTTATAATTAGTTCTTACAATTTTATTATGTTTCAGTTTCAATCTTTCTATTAGTTTAATATTAAATATTTGACATAATTTATAAAAAAAAGTATGAACTAAAATTAAAAACATATAAACTTTAGAGATTAAAATAATACAAAAAATAAGTTTAATTTCAACAAATAGTCTTAAAATTATTAGTTTTTTTTTTCAATTTCAGTCCCTAACTTACATAAATTTCATCAAATTTTGATGTCTAGTTAATAAAAGGACCAGAATTGAAATAAAATAAAATTTTAAGAACCATCTGTGAAACATTTGAAAAGTTAGGGATCAAAATGAGATTAAGTGTAAACCTTAAAGAGTATTTGTGAAATTAACCAGCCTTTTTTAATAATTTTTTTTACCATCTTTTTTTATTGAATTTAGTATGATCTTTTCGATACCATAAAATATAAAGCCTTGTTTGTATCATGGTTTAAATTCATGATTTTAACTTTGTTACAGTATTTCTCTAAAAAAAAATTTGATTTTAAAGTTTCCGCCAATAGGTTATCTCACAAAATTTGAATGCATAATAAAAATCACTGATTTGAACTCATGAACCAAACGGGCTCTAAGAGTTTGTTAGTGTCAAATTCAGCACCACGATCATCACCGTACATGTGAACAACATTTGGAGAAATAGGTCATCTCCAATCGACTAAAATCAACTAGAGACCAGATTAACTTAAGACGATTGGAGAAGACTGACGGTATGAAGAGTGTAGGGACCACCACCGATATTTAAGGAATAAGATTTCTTGTAGGCTATGAAGATTATCTCAGCCAAATCTTATATTAATGGGTCAAATCAGATCAATAATAAAGAGAAAATATCCGAAGAAGCCAATATGAGAACAAGGAAAAGGAAAGTCAACTAAGGAAAAGGGAAACTATCCAATCTAAGAGAAAAGGAAAGAAGAAGATCTTCTCCTATAAATAGGGGATGGAGATCACGAATTAAACAACTTGGAACCCTCACATCACGCCCATACTCTCTCTCTCTCTCTAAAACCCCTCCTCATTCTTCTCTAATTTTCTCAAAAGCTTTGTAATAGTACTATTTTCATTACATAGTGAAACCCCTGAGACCCTATAGTGGACACACCTTGGAATCATTAGGGGAACCACTATAAATTTGTGTGTTCATTTATTTTTCCGCACTTCACATGCTCGTTCTAGCACTATATTGGCTTGAATTGACCCGAATTGACTCACCAACTCGATCACCACCCGAGAGTAGTCAGACTTATTTTTGTACTTTGTTTCACAAGTCAAGATAAAAACTTGAGTTGTGTATGTGAGAGAAATATAAAATAACAAAAAAAGTTAAATTTAAATTTTTATGAGAATAAATACTATAGCAATAAAACTTAAGTTGTAAAATAAATAAGATCTTTATCTCTTGAGCTTGGTAAGAATATCATTTTGTTAAGAAAAATTGCAAATAAAGCTAAAACTTTTGTGATCTTGTCTATGTTTGAGAGTAATAAACGATATTGATTTTTTTTAAAGCACGACATTGATTTTGAAAGGAAGTAAATATGGATGGCAATTTTACTCGTTTACCTATTTATATGCTGGGACCCATA